ATTAGTGGTAATGCTAGCCAGGAGTGGCGGTGGGTGCAGTAATCATGTCCTAGGAGCTGCTTCCACTGGCTGCCTCACTGGCTGCAATATCGGCATGCAACACTGCATGAACACAGCTTTAAGGGGGCATTAGTGCGTGTGTTTGATGATCCATTGTGTTTGTTGAAGCTGACCCGCCTGAGATCATTAAAGTAACTGTCCAATGAAAATCTAATTTTTAAAAGCTCATTCTGTTTGATCATACCCAAATAATGTTGTTGACTCATCCTACTTGTAGTTGTGGCCAAAGCATAAAAAACACAGTAAAACCCCATCTCAAACTTGGATAATGGCGTCATCCTCTTTGGCCGAGACAGACCTTTGTGTAATTGGTCCAGCAGCTTTTTCCAAATTCTCTGGTGGGTTGACATGGCCGTGTCAGAAACCCCACCCGTACAACATACTTAAACTATTGACGGATTCAAATATAAAAAGAATGATGATGGTACAGTTAACAAGTACAAGGTTATTTGCAAGATTTGTAAGAAGGAGTTTCAATTTCACCGGAGCTGTTCAAGCTTGAAGTACCATGTCAACGCCAAACATGCGTTTGCTGGGCCGTCAGATTCAGCAAGTGGTTTGCGCCAGACTACGCTGAATGTTTGCAGGCAATTAACAAAATCAACCTCAGATAATTTGACCAACACAATAGCAAAATGGATTGCAAAGGATTGTAGACCCATTAGCATTGTAGAAGACTCAGGTTTCCTTGATGTTTTGCAAGTGGCGTCTCAAGACTCATTCTATAAGCCACCGTCAAGAGCCACAGCCAAAGACAAATATTATGGTGTGTAGTATGTTTCAGCTTGATTTAAAACACCATTATTTGGCTGTGTTAATAAACAGACATATTATGAAAATTATGTATCTGTGTCCTGTTATTTATCTTTTGGTATGCATTTCAGAAAAAAAATGGTTAGGATTCAGGTACTATGTACTCATCGTCGCATACTATTTAGCAGTATGCCACGGCCGCAACGCAGTAGCATTTATGCTGGTGGGTTTTTCTAAATTCAACAGACATGTATCACGTTAACCAGTCTGATAATAGCTCATTTCCAATTTCATTAATTTCTCTATACTCAGATTGGTTATAGGCATACTATCACATTCAACCTATACCGTAGCCCAGATAGACCATCTATTCAATTCAAAAAGGACTGAAGACATAAACAGATAATTTGGTTCCATTTTAACATATTTATTAGTAAAACCAAAGTCTTGAAACATATATAAATTAAATCAAAAAGGCTATTGCACAGAAACGTGGACAGTCGGGTGCATCGCAAATTCAGAACCCGCTGGACAATAAATGAAAGCACTGATCATTGGGAACGAGATCAGAATGACTGCTAAGGCTTGATTCATAAATTAAATAATTAAATAGGTAGCCTAGCCTACAAAACTAAAACAATCCGTTCAACTCAAAAGGCCTGATTAACATGACATCAATAACGCAGCCACATCCTGAGTCCCCAGTGCCGACACATTCAGAAATCAAAAGATGGTTTAGTATTTAGTTTAAAAGCTCAGATGAAGGCCAAGAGAACAAGAAACCCTATTCAATGAGAACTAATTTTTCAAAGATATAGCCTATGCAATACTTGTGATAATTCTAAGGAGAACAAAAACTACTCTGCCGACATTTCAACATCACTGCAGAATCTTCTCTATTCGGCATCTTCCCAATTAAGTAGCCTACTTTTGTTGTTTAGCTACTTGAAGAGAACTCGCAGTTCACCTCTTCCAATGCATTGTGGAAAAGTGTGCATCAAATTCTACTAGATGAAAAGCCGAAATTAGTATAACATCCTGGCATTTAAACCATACTCGATTTTCGAAAATTCACATACTATAAAACATTATATTTTCGCATACTGAGAATGTGTCATGCGCGATTATGTTATTTTGTGTTATTGGTTCATTTCGGTAGCACAGACCCCATATCTGATTATCAGCTGTTGTCAAAGCCGAAATGAGGCATCGAGGCATTTAAAGTATACTCGATTTTTTTAAATGTCACATACTGTAAAACTTAATTTTTTTCACATTCAAATGGCCTACTGTTTAGGACGCAAGTATGGGTATTTGGACACAGCCACAGACTCAGGAATGCACAGCACACTCACTGGTGTTACCAAAAGGGACAAAGCCTATGCAACAACTAAAGTATCTCGCCAGTCACTTCTATTTCAAATTGTGGTTTGTAGTTTCAAGTTTTATTAGTCGTATATATAGGATAGACATGGTATACACTGTCCAACGAAATGCTTACTTATTTACAGTGCATTCGGAAAGTATTCAGAGCCCTTGACTTTTTTACAGCCTTATTCTAAAATTGATTAAATCGTTTTTTCCCCTCATCAATCTATACCCCATAATGACAAAGCAAAAACAGTTTTTAGAAATGTTTGCAAATATATTAAAAATAAACAACTTAAATATCACATTAACATAAGTATTCAGACCCTTTACTCAGTACTGTTGAAGTACCTTTGGCAGCGATTACAGCCTCGAGTCTTCTTGGGTATGATGCTACAAGCATGGCACACCTGTATTTGGGAAGTTACTCCCATTCTTCTCTGCAGATCCTCTCAAGCTCTGTCAGGTTGAATGGGGAGCGTCGCTGCACAGCTATTTTCAAGTCTCTCCAGAGATGTTCGATCGGGTTCAAGTCCGGGTTCTGGCTGGGCCACTCAAGGACTTTCAGAGACTTGTCCCGAAGCCACTCCTGCGTTGTCTTGGCTGTGTGCTTAGGGTCGTTGTCCTGTTGGAAGGTGAACCTTCGCTCCAGTCTGAGGTCCTGAGCGCTCTGGTGCAGGTTTTCATCAAGGATCTCTCTGTACTTTGCTCCATTCATCTTTCCCTCAATCCTGACTAGTCTCCCAGTCCCTGCCGCTGAAAAACATCCCCACAGCATGATGCTGCCACCACCATGCTTCACCATAGGGATGGTGCCAGGTTTCATCCAGATGTGACGCTTGGCATTCAGGCCAAAGAGTTCAATCTTGGTTTGATCAGACCAAAGAATCTTGTTTCTCATGGTCTGAGAGTCTTTAGGTGCCTTTTGGCAAACTCCAAGCGGGCTGTCACGTGCCTTTTACTGAGGAGTGGCTTCCGTCTGGCCACTCTACCATAAATGCCTGATTGCTGGAGTGCTGCAGAGATGGTTGTCCTTCTGGAAGGTTTTCCCATCTCCAAAAAGGAACTCTGGAGCTCTGTTAGAGTGACCATCGGGTTCTTGGTCACCTCCCTGACCAAGGCCCTTCTCCCACGATTGCTCATTTTGGAAGGGCGGCCAGCTCTAGGAAGAGTCTTGGTGGTTCCAAACTTCTTCCATTTAAGAATGATGGAGGCCACTCTCTCTGAGCTCTACGGACAATTCCTTCGAACTCATGGCTTGGTTTTTGCTCTGACATGCACTGTCAACTGTGGGACCTTATATAGACAGGTGTGTGCCTTTCCAAATCATGTCCAATCAATGGAATTTACCACAGGTGGACTCCAATAAAGTTGTAGAAACATCTCAAGGATGATCAATGGAAACAGGATGCACCTGAGCTCAATTTCGAGTCTCATAGCAAAGGGTCTGAATACTTATGTAAATAAGGTATTTCATTTTTATTTATTTTTTATGATCATGCTGTTTAATCAGCATTTTGATATGCCACACCTGTCAGGTGGATGGATTATCTAGGCAAAGGAGAAATGCTCACTAACAGGTTTTGAGAGAAATAAGGTTTTTGTGCGGATAGAACATTTCTGTGATCTTTTATTTCAGCTCATGAAACATGGGATCAACACTTTTCATGTTGCGTTTATATTTTTGTTCAGTGTATAATGTAAACAAAATGTGTATCTTTCCCTACATAGTGCACTACTATTAACCAGAGCCCTATAGGCCCTGGTTAAAAGTAGTTCACTATGTAGGGAATATGGTGTCGTTTGGGACGCAAACAAAGCATTTATTTTATGTGCAAACAGTATGACTATGCGTTTGTTAGCTGTCTGTGACCATTAGTGCGGCACCATGAGAACTTAGATTCAATCCGCACCAATCTGCCTCACACCCTTACTTTCTTACTCAGTGTGGGCGAACAAGCACACTAAAGCACAATTAAACTGGCAAAAAAACAAGTGTGGAAAGGGAACACATTGGAACAATCTAAGCACCGGATTCGCCACTTGAGGGGTATAGGTAGAGATGGGTCGTGTTCATGAAGAAAATGGAACAAAACAGGGAGGGACTACTGAATTAACATGGTCCCTTAGCTAGCTCTTGTGGCCCCTTAACTTGGCTCCCAATGTATTCTAGCCCCCCTAAAGACAAGGAAGTGAGCCCTGTGTGAATTTCTCCCTTCCCTTCGACTCTATACGAGCTGCCTGAATGTTCTAGTTAGGACCATTTAGTATTAATGGTTGGGAAAAAGGTGCCTGTACAAAACGGTGCCCGGGAGCATTTTAAAAGCAAAGTAGCGAACGCACTGTTCTTTTTTTACCCACCAGGAAACTTGTGGGCCGTAGCAATTGTCGCTGCATGACGTCCAGAATATATTACGGCTACTTTGTGGGACTGAAAAGCCTTTGTTCCGCTCTCTCTCTGTGGCTGTGCCTCAAATGACACCCTATTCCCAAATGGCCCCGTGGGCTCTGGTGTAAAGAAGTGCACTATATAGTGAATAGAGTGCCATTAGGGATGTAGCTCCTTCTCTCCGGTGGTCTTTTTAACTCAGTATATATTACAGGTAGACTCATGTGGCTTCTCATAATAGAGGGACGGAAAAGGACTTGCTAATTGACCAATCGGACCATGCTATTTCATATGATTGGTCGTTTTTCTCCTGTAGGAATGAATACAGTGGAGAAATGACATTTCATTAGTAAAACAATTTTTATTAACTAATTCTGACGTATAAAACAAGACTATTTCTTAACCCTGCTTTTTAACAAATGTAATCATCATGTTTCTGCGTGTGTGCATGTCTCAGTGCCCTGACTCGGCCTGCAAGCAGGACCTGCTGGCCTACCTGCAGAGAATCGCCCTGTACTGCCATCAGCTCAACATCTGTAGCAAGGTCAAGGCCGAGGTCCAGAACCTGGGAGGAGAGCTCATCGTCTCTGGGGTAAGTCTCACCACACAACACCCTCACATGGTACAGTCAAGGCTCTGGGTCCCTGTCAATAGTTATATTCAGGTGCATAAAGCACTGGTGAGCAGCAATTTTCTGTGTGTGGGCCTCATTCCTTTCTCTCAATAGTTACAAGGGACCTTCCCTAGGCTTCCTCCCTCCTTGTTTCTTACAATTCCTCTCAAAGAGCATTGGAGGAGGAGTTCTGAGGGAGAGCCTTGGATCCTCTCCTCCAATGCGCTTTGAGAGGAATTGAGAAAACAACGAAGGAGGAAGCAAGGATTTGAAAGCTAGTAACGTTTTCAAACCCTCTGCTGCTGTCTCCCTCCCTTTGCTGAGACTAATGCCATGTTCAAAACAACTGGGAACTCGGAAGTCTCCGACTTCCAACTTCAGTGCGTTCAAGACAACTGGGATTTCTGAAGAAAATTAGATCCGACTGGGAAAAATATTTTTTGAATGGTCATCCATCTCGGAATTCCAAGTCGGAAACTCGGGCATCTTTCTAGAGCTCCGACTTTCCAACCTGAAGATCACTGACGTCATGATTTGTTTTGGTTCCCAGTTGTCTTGAAAGCACCATGACCATCAGATGCAGGTACCATCAGTCCAGTAAAATAAAAAAGCAAATTATTTGCAAATTATTTCAATTTGTGCTCAGCTGTGCCTCGCAAGTGCTACACCAACTGATCTATTTTGTAATCAAAGCTCAAGTTTTGAAATATAATATGGTCTGAGAAGAACAATATTGGCAGGCCAGGCATTTAGCCAATATGCTGTGATAATGTATTCGGCCTACTGCACAAACCTCATTCCTATAAAACAGTTTTTATTAGGTTAATGTTAAATTTACATGTTAAAAAAAAAATCAGAGCGGTAGATCTCGGCTTGCTTTTTGACTGCGAAAGTGATCTTGGCTCAGAAAAGGTTGGTGACCACTGTCTTATAGAATATTAGCTCAAAAGTATTATGGATCTCCTGCACCTAAAAATATACAGTACCGGCACCTATTTTAGTCCAAGTCAAGCACTGTATCTATGACAATAGTGGACCTGCACAAAGATGGTATACCTACATATACACTAGATATCAAATTGAGCACACAGCCATGCAATCTCCATAGACAACCATTGGCAGTAGAATGGCCTTACTGAAGAGCCCAGTGACTTTCAATGTGGCACCGTCATAGGATGCCACCTTTCCAACAAGTCAGCCCCGGTCAACTGTAAGTGCTGTTATTGTGAAGTGGAAACTTCTAGGAGCAAGAATGGCTCAGCCGCGAAGTGGTAGGCCACACAAGCTCAAAGAACGGGACTGCCGAGTGCTGAAGCACGTAGTGCGTAAAAATTGTCTGTCCTCGATTTCAACACTCACTACCGAGTTCCAAACTGCCTCTGGAAGCGATGTCAGCATAAGCCTAAGATCTCCATGCGCAATGTGTCGGCTGGAGTGGTGTAAAGCCGCCATTGGACTCTGGAGCAGTGGAAACGCGTTCTCTGGAGTGATCAATCACGCTTCACCATCTTGCAGTCCGACTGATAAATCTGGGTTTGGCGGATGCCAGGAAAACGCTACCTGCCCGAATGCATAGTGCCAACTGTAAAGTTTGGTGGAGGAAGAATAATGGTCTGGGGCTGTTTTTCATGGTTTGGGCTAGGTCCCTTAGTTCCAGTGAAGGGAAATCTTAACGCTAGAGCATACAATGACATTCTAGACGATTCTGTGCTTCCAACTTTGTGGCAACAATTTGGGGAAGGCCCTTTCGTGTTTCAGCATGACAATGCCCCTGTGCACAAAGCGAGGTCCATACAGAAATGACTTGTCGAGATTGATGTGGAAGAACTTGACTGGACTGCGGGCCTAATCGCCCAACATCAGTGCCCAACCTCACTAATGCTCTTGTGGCTGAATGGAAGTCCCTGCAGCAATGTTCCAACATCTAGTGGAAAGACTTCCTAGAAAAGTGGAGGCTGTTATAACAGCAAAGGGGGGACCAACTCCATATTAATGCCCATGATTCGACGAGTAGGTGTGCAATTCATGAATTGTCAAATGTCCGCTATTATCTGTTAAAATAGACCTCCTATTCTAATTGGCTTATTATGGCTAGAAACACACAAGTCCTCGAGTAACTCCTCTCGATTATTGTCTGGCAAAACTCTCGCTCTCTCTTCACCTTCGCAGTGCCAGCCCCAACCCAGGGAGTCCTCAACACAACTGACAATTAAGCGTTGAAAAATATCGCCCTCGCGACACGACACCCACTTTTTTTTAGACACAGGTCAGGTGTACCTCTCTTCTCTCCCTGCGTCTGTTTTGTTTGGCTGACATTTAGAGGCTGCGGCCAGCCCCCCTACCCCCTTGCCCCCCACCCCGAGAAGGGAGTCAACCGCTAGATTTAATTGGCTCCGAACTCCAGCTGGTCACTATAAAAAGGTTAGCAGCACGGTGGGTGCCCCCGATACCCCAAATTATGCTTAAAATACCCAGTAATAAGCAGTAATTTAGTCCCGACAGGATGAGCTGAAACTCTATGGGCACTGCGTCTGAAATGGCACCCTATTTTGACCAACGCACAACAGGCTCTGGTCGAAAGTAGTGCGCTAAATAGGAAATAGGGTGCCATTTGGGATGCAACCATGTTCTTTTGGACACAACTTTCTCTTAATGAGGCTGGCATATCAGAGATGTGTTGGAGGTAGAGTTGTCACTCTGACCCTGTCTAGCTACTCAGGGCTCTGATAAGACGAGTGAGGGACCTGCTATCACCCTGCGGGGGAGACCAGAGACAGAGAGCTCAACTCTGTACTGTAAGAACCGTTGGCTTGATAAAGCCTTCTTCAGTGAGAGCTCTTTGCCGCAGGCAGTTCTTGTTATCTTGCAGTGTGACATGGGATGTCTAAAAGACTGTCTAAGAAAGGGGTGCATCTCAATACTCTTAATTAGGGTTGCATCTCAATACTCTTTCGTTGAAGAAATAACAGATCTCCAATTGGTTGAATAGTATTAATACTTACACCTGTCCAATATATCTGCTTCATTGATGTCCTGAAAGATATCCAATTGGTTGGATTATTGCTTACACCGATCCAATCACTTAGATCTTCCTTCCCCCCTCTCCTTCTTCTCACCTCTCCCCCTCCTCTCATCCCCTCCTCCCCTCATGGGGTCTGCAGAATGTTTTATGTGCAGTTGATGATGCAGGTTTGCAGTTGACCTAACCATACGTGATGGTTTTTAATATGTCCATTTAATGTTTAATGCTGAACTAGTAAAAGTAGTTGCTATGTAACTACAATGTTGTTACTACAGTTAATACTATGTAGTGAAATAGGCATAAGGGCAACATAAGATATAGCGTTGGTATATGGATTTTAACATCTAAGTTGTCCTCTGTCTCTCTCCGTAGCTGGACAGCGCCACCTCCCTGATCCAGGCGGCCAAGAACTTGATGAACGCTGTGGTGCTCACAGTCAAGGCTAGCTATGTGGCGTCCACCAAGTACGCCAAGGTGTACGGCGCCGCTGCCGTCAACTCGCCTGTGGTCAGCTGGCGCATGAAGGCGCCCGAGAAGAAGCCCTTGGTGAAGCGGGAGAAGCCTGAGGAGTGCCAGACGCGTGTTCGACGGGGCTCACAGAAGAAGCACATCTCGCCCGTCCAGGCCCTCAGCGAGTTCAAGGCCATGGACTCCTTCTAAAGATGTCTGCCGCCACGACGTATGTCACTGAAACCAAGAAAAACAACACCGACAACGAGAAGTTTAAGAAAACTCCCTTCTTTCTTTGTGTTAATTTGTTTATTTCGGTGAGACGAGTTATACTGATAATAACAACGCCTCCTTTCTCCCTTTTGAGCGAAGGGTCGATGAAAAAACCTACCTGGAGGACTTTGCTAACCCGCCACCTGTACTGAACTACAGCTCCCATGAACACTTTGGGCTTCTTGGCCAATGGGGAGCCAGCGTGCTCCCACCCCTATTTATTACTATTATTACTACTGTAGCTTAACCGTGTGACACTAAAAACTTACTTAAAAAAGGGAGATAAAAAGTTAAAAACAAAACATATCAGAAGAGCGGCCCCTCAATGACTAAATGTGGCCGTCAATATGTTAGCTATATCATTACTATCGTGGTACTGACTGGCTGCTCATACACACATTAACTGTCTGAATGGAAATTATGAATGGCGCAGTAGTGAAATCACTGTAACAAGAGGATTCATCTATCGAGGTTGATCAACTTTGGGCGACATTTTCGTGGGGCAAAAGAGCACAGGTTTGTGCAAATATTACTGTAAACCTCAATATAATCAAGCAGGGAGATTTAATTTGAAACTTTTCTTCAATAATGTGCATTATAAGGAGGCGCTTGAACTAGAGTTTAGTTTACTGAGTAATGCATGAACAGTCACCTCCTCATAACACATTGAAGAAAAGTTTCAACTTAAATCACGCTGCCTGATTATGAAGAGGTTTACAGTATTTATCCCACAGATCTGCGCTTTTTTTTGTACAATGAAAATGTCAATATTCCCCTCCTAACTTAATATCTTATTTTTTCCCCCAGTTTGAATGTTACCTTACCTGTAGAGCTAGGAATAACTTATGTTTAAGATAACTGAAAGAGTTTTCTTTGTTCCTTCCCGACCCATAACGGTGTTCCTGAACGATGCACACACTTTATGGTCCTATGGTATTGCCTTTTTAAAAATCAATTTCTCATGTTGATATCACTAACTATATCGCAGCCTGATTGGATTGTTGTTTAGAGTGTAATAGTAGACATGGAGAGGTGTGATTAGTTGTGGTTTGCTCAGAGAATATTAGGCTGCGTTAAGACAGGCAGCCCAATTCTGATATTTTTTTGACTATTTTGTCTTTTAATCAATCAGTTCAGCTCTAAAAAAGATCTGATGTGAAAAGATCTGATGTGATTGGTCAAAAGTTAAATTAGTGGAAAAAATATCTGAATTGGGGTACCTGTCTAAACGAAGCCCTAGAGTCCTACATACATACATACATACAGGTAACTGCCAAAATAATGGAAACACTTGAGTAAATGAGGGATACAAAGTATATTAAAAGCAGGTGCTTCCACACAGGTGTGGTTCCTGAGTTAATCAAGTAATTAAACAACTCAGCATGCTTAGGGTCATGTATAAAACATGCTGGGCAGGCCATTATTTGTGCTACCATGGCCCCCATAGGATGACAATGCCATCCACACTGCATGAGTGGCCATGGAATGGTTTGATGAGCATGAAAACTATGTAAACCATATGCCATGGCCGTCTGTCACCAGATCTCAACCCAATTGAAAACTTAAAGGAGATTCTGGAGCAGTGCCTGAGACAGCGTTTTCCACCACCATCAACAAAACACCAAATTATGGAATTGGGTTGCATCCCTCCAATAGAGTTTCAGACACATAATCTATGCTAAGGCGCATTAAAACCGTTCTGGCTCGTGGTGGCCCAACACCCTATTAAGACACTTTATGTTGGTGTTTCCATTATATTGGAATTTACCTGTACATACATACATACAAGTACCTTTATATTCACTGTTCTCTAATAAACCCCTCAACTTGACTGACCTCCCTCCACGCCTGTTTCTTTACCACTCACAAGCGGCTATATTTGTATATAGTATAACAGATATTAGAATTCTAAGGTGGGTATTCAATTCAATTTCAGATCGTGGCTTTCCAGAAAGGGTTGCATGAATTTGCATGAATTGCATGAATACCAGCCTAATTCTACACTATTTTTACCCACCGTTTGACCTATACACGTTAGAATGTTACACGTTTCTTGGTTCCTTAGAGGGGCTAATACACATTTATCCACATGTACTGTATCTATGCCAGACAGTAAACTATTTAACTTTGTAAGAGTTCAGGTATTTGTGCCTATTCAACTTTGTACTTGAAACTGAAAGAGGTACCAGAAAGCACAAATACCAACACTCACTGTATCATTTCCAAGGATGGCCAAGTGCGCACTTTGGGAGAAGGGTGGAAAATTGGGACGTAGCCTAAAGAACAAATAAACAGGCTGTGTTCCGATCCTCTACCTTTCTCCCGAAGTGTGCTCTCGTTCATCACAGACCTGAAAGGAACAGACTGGTGTAAAGAATATGGTGGAATACTCCCTGTATGATAACATGGGAGAATTTCAATTGCATTTCCTTGATTCCTCACGTCCTCTCTCCTCACCTGGTTATGAAAACCCATTGGATGAGAAGTTCAGAGGGGCGGGACTTCTGACCACATCTAATGGGTTTAAGAAGGAGGCGAGAGGACGCGAGAAATTAAGAGAATGCAATTGAGATTCTTCCCAATATTCACAATGTATAAGCCCTGTGTAAGAAACAGACAGACAGTGTACTGCAGACCGACATGGATTTGAAAGGAATGGAGTGGTGGAAGGAATATAATGGAATACTCACTGTATCATACCAATACTACACTTAAGCCTCATGTAGCTTAACGAGCAAACAAACAGTGTAGTGCAGAAGAAAGTTCTGTCCACTCCTCCGCCTTCCCTCTCAAGGTCACTGCTGACCCTGAGCTCTGCTGTGTGAAGGCATCTGAGTCGATATCGAACAGATGAGCTCTCGTCAATCTCCATTAGAGACGGAGAGAGGGAGAGGGGGAGGGACAGGAGGAGAGGGAGGGAGAGAGGGAAGGAGAGAGAGTGACTGTTCTGCAGTGAACAATCCCTCACCACTCAGCAGCTCAACAATCAGAAGGGGAAGACACCCCTGGAAACCACCACAAGGTTTGGATACAAGAGCTGAGCATGCTAAAGCATGGTCCAATATAATGCTGCAACATATGCCACCAGACTTGGGTTTCAAATACTTGAAAAATCATTTGAAATACTTTCTCTAAGCCTGTTTGAGCTTTTCCGTCTTAATAAACCAATGGAAAAGTCCCAAAACTGCAAATCCCGCCCAAGCAGACTCTAGCAAAAGCTCAAAGTATTTCAAAGATTTTTCAAGTACTATTTAAAAAAAAAGTATTAGTAAGCTAAGTCTGATAGATACAGTTCAAACTCGCTTCCCACTACTGAGCCGAGCTGTACTGCGCCGGCCTGGTTACACACTGTGGCGTAGCGCAGTTTTAAAGCGAATTTCCTGTAATTCTATTTTTATGAAGTGTTCATATGCTCTCTGGGAGCCTGCGGGGGCTTCGGGGGTTTCCGCTTCGCCAGTGGTTACGCAGCCATCCACCATAGTTGCTGGAACCGTGCTAGAACGAATGTGAAAATAAAAGATCAGAGCCAACACAGTACAGTTCGTTCAGGTCTGCACGACAGTCAACTTATTGTAACAGAGAACCTTGATAGTTCTATAGAGATCATAACAGTTATATCTGCAATGTACTTATGGCTTGAACATGGCTCAGGGCCATACCAAGGGAAATCATGGCCTTAAAGGCAATAAAGCGAAATGTTCTGAACATAACAGAGAGCCTGCTTTCCAAATGGCCCCCTATTCCCTATAAAGTGTGCTACTTTTGACCAGAGTCCTATGGAACACATTTGGAACGCAGACAGATTAATGCCCTGAATTACATACTGTATACATAAGATAGAAGGTTATAGCTTTTCTATTCAGCATTGATATCCATTGTTTGTCATATTCAGAACGATCCTTTAAATATGCATTATGTTCTTGATGTTGTATTTGCTTTACGCGCACACACACACCTTATTCGTTTGGGAAAGTGCATTTTCTCTCTGGTCAAGAAGGATTCGATAACGACCCTCCATCCTTTCATCCCTGCTCAGAATATCTCTCTTCCTTTCCTCCGCTCTCAGGCCCTGTTGGATAAAAAACATAGGTTAAACAATGATCAATGGCGTGATCTTGAACCTGGCGCCTCCAATCATAACACATTGACAGGCTTTATCGCCCCACATTAGAAACGGGGTTAAAAATGATATTTTTATCCAATAAAGCCCACGGCAGAGAAATAGACCATTACTTTACATTAGATGGGCACAGCCATGTATGGTGTCGGTAATGGATGAACAGAACATGCATGCTGTTAATCAAATAATAGGCTACGATAGGCTCACTATGAAGCTGCATGGCACAATAGCTATTATCAATGAATCATAGATGTCAATTTCAAGTCAATGGCAGCTGCTATCAATAAATCAACCAGTCTCCCATCCTGCATTTAAAGCAAGGCCAGTGTGAGGTATTGTACAGTACAGTGTGGACCGTTTTCAAAGTCATTCCTTTAAAGGGGCAATCCGAGATTCAAAAAGAAAGAAAAAGTGGTCACCACTCTAAAATTGATAGAAGGCGCTATAGATGCAAGGACTGACCATACATGAGATGAATGACAGTTTTAACCATGTTTTGAAGCTACAGTATACAATGTATCACACGGTTCATTATACAATGTCTACATCATTCATTTAAAAGTGCAGCAATGGATGTACCAATCGCAGATTGTCCCTTAAAGATAATAAAGTCTAATATAAGAGGATTGAGTCCCTTGAAAACAAAGCTCTCAACGGACGTCTCCAGCAGTTTTAAAGTAGTATTAAAAAGCCTGCAGTGTTGCTCGGATCTAATTAAACAAATCTGGCCTCCCATGCTTCCAACACATAAGGAGGAAGAGAAGGAGACTTCAAATGAATTATTGTCCCCAGTGGCCATGGCTATACTGCTAACAGA